TGTCCCCCCCCTGTCCCCATGTCCCCCCACATGTCCCTGTGTCCCCCACATGTCCCCATGTCCCCCGCTGTCCCCGTGTCCCCCCCGTGTCCCCGTGTCCCTCCTGTCCTCCCCACGGGCTGGGGGGGGTCAGATGTGGGGTTCTGGGGGGGCAGATACGGGGTGTGCCAGGGGCGCACCCACGGCGTGTATTTTTGGGGTGCATCCATTGGAGTGTACCCACGGGGTGCATTTTTGGGGTTCATCCATCGGGATGTTCCCACGGGGTGCATTTTTGGGATATATCCATTGGGATGTATCCATTAGGATGTATTTTTGGGGGTGCTGGGGGTCAATCCACGGGGTGCATTTTTGGGGTGCCTCCACCGGGACGCTCCCACGGGGTGCATTTTTGGGGTGCCTCCATCGGGATGTATCCACGGGGTGTATTTTTGCGGATATATCATGGCATGTACACATGGGGTGTGTTTTTGGGATGCATCTATTGGGATGTACCCATCGGGATGTATCCACGGGGTGTATTTTTGGGGTGCATCCATCGGAATGTTCCCATGAGCTGTATTTTTGGGATATATCAATGGGATGTTCCCACAGGGTGCATTTTTGGGGTGCATCCACCGGGACGCTCCCACGGGGTGCATTTTTGGGGTGCCTCCATCGGGATGTATCCACGGGGTGCATTTTTGGGGTGCCTCCACCGGGACGCTCCCACGGGGTGCATTTTTGGGGTGCATCCATCGGGACGTTCCCACGGGGTGCATTTTTGGGGTGCCTCCATCGGGATACTCCCACGGGGTGTATTTTTGCAGATTTATCATGGCATGTACACATGGGGTGTGTTTTTGGGATGCATCTATTGGGATGTACCCATCGGGATGCTCCCACGGGGTGCATTTTTGGGGTGCCTCCACCGGGACGTTCCCACAGGGTGCATTTTTAGGGTGCGTCCACCGGGACGCTCCCACGGGGTGCATTTTTGGGGTGCCTCCATCGGGACATTCCCACGGGGTGCATTTTTGGGGTGCATCCATCGAGATGTTCCCATGAGCTGTATTTTTGGGATATATCAATGGGACGTTCCCACGGGGTGTGTTTTTGGGATATATCAATGGGACGTTCCCACGGGATGCATTTTTGGGGTGCATCCATCGGGATACTCCCACGGGGTGTATTTTTGAGGATATATCATGGCATGTACACATGGGGTGTGTTTTTGGGATGCATCTATTGGGATGTACCCATCGGGATGCTCTCACCGGGTGCATTTTTGGGGTGCATCCATCGGAATGTTCCCATGAGCTGTATTTTTGGGATATTTCAATGGGATGTTCCCACAGGGTGCATTTTTGGGGCGCATCCATCGGGATGTTCCCACGGGGTGCATTTTTGGGATATATCAATGGGACGCTCCCACGGGGTGTATTTTTGGGGTGCCTCCACCGGGACGCTCCCACGGGGTGCATTTTTGGGATATATCAATGGGATGTTCCCACAGGGTGCATTTTTGGGATATATCAATGGGACGTTCCCACGGGGTGCATTTTTGGGGTTCATCCATCGGGACGTTCCCACGGGGTGCATTTTTGGGATATATCAATGGGACGCTCCCACGGGGTGCATTTTTGGGGTTCATCCATCGGGACGCTCCCACGGGGTGCATTNGGGGTGCATTTTTGGGGTTCATCCATCGGGACGCTCCCACGGGGTGCATTTTTGGGATATATCAATGGGACGCTCCCACGGGGTGCATTTTTGGGATATATCAATGGGACGCTCCCACGGGGTGCATTTTTGGGCTGCCTCCACCGGGACGCAGCCGTGCTTCGCCGGGCTGTGTCCGTGGGGCTCCCGGCGTTCCTGCCGGGCGCTGTCCGTGCCGTCACCCCGGGGCGCTGAGCCCGGCGGGGGCACGAAGCGCTGGAACCCCGCGGCCATTGTGACACGGCGGACCCGGAGTCGCTTGTCACCAGGGCGCCGCTGCCACCAACAGCGCCGTCCCCGCTGCCGCCGCCCCGCTCCGCCCGGGCAGCCGCGCCGGGGCCGCCCCCGTGTCCCCCCGAGACCCCCGAGGCCGCGATGGCACCGGCGGGACCCCCCGCGCCCAGCTCCGCCTGGGTGGGCCCCTGGAGACCGCACCGGCCCCGGGCGCCCACCTCGGCCGCGTTCCGCAGCCCCGGGCCCAAGTACGGCATCCCCGGCGGCATCGGTGAGTGCGGGGCGGCGGGGCCCGGGGGGCGCCGGGCCCGGGGGCGCCGAGTCCCACCGAGCCCCCGCTCGCCCCCAGGCAGAGACCCCCGCGACCCCTCCGGCCGCCGCGCCCCCGCCTACAGCTTCGGGCTGCGGCTGGGGGGCCCCGAGGAGCCGCGCTCGCCCGGCCCGCAGTACCTGGTGCCCGCCGGCTGCACCGCCCGCGGCCGCGACCGCGGACCCGCCTTCACCATGGGCGGCCGCGCCCGGGAGAGCCGGGCCAGCAGCACGCCCGGGCCAGGTGAGTGAGGGGCGGCCAAGCCCGGGAGAGCCGGGCCAG